AAATAAAATGGAAAAAAGGAGCTGCTAGAGTCAGACAATGACAACAGTAAGAAACAACCACAACAACTTTACAGCAAAGGAAAAAGGAGGAAGGGGGAGAAATACAGCAGCTTGTAACCATCTGGATTTTAGACATTTTCACACAAAACAAGGATAGCTGACACTCATATACACATTCACACTCCCGTGACCAAACGCAGCTTTTGAAATCCCCCAACCATTTTCAAATGATAATCCAAAACCCTCATGATTATTACTAGTCTAGCTATATAGCACTTACTTTCTCCAAGCAGTGGCAGAGAAGACAGACTGGGGGTTAAGCCCAACTCCCTTACCTTCCCACTCAAGAAAACATACTAGAATGCAAAAGAATGAATTACATTCATTGCTTTATTCACTCAACAAAAAATTATTGAACACCTAATACTTGCAGGCAGTATTTTAGACACTGGGGAGAAGGCAGTGCATAAATAAGATACAGTCCCTGTCCTTGTGGAATTGTATAAGAATAACCTTGAACCTAACACAAATTTAGTAAATAATTCACAGTGGCATTTTAACTCACAGTAACAAATCATTTATAATACACATCACCTCATAACTAAAGAAGACAAGTAAGAACAAAAAGACCCCTTGGCTGCAAAATGCTGACTTAGGATAAGGGCAAACCAGCTAGCACAGGGGTCTGTTTGGTTATGGTGGAGGAAAGTCTTGGCTGGAGATCTGAGTTTGGGTCCAACTCTGGTGCTGAGCTGAATAGTAAATGCTTCATTTGATATGTTAAGAGGCTTCAACCTTTTACTGTATTAAATGGGGTCACTACCACCAATTTCATAGGATTAATAAAGTCACTGTACTGCTTGGATGGATTAGCTGGTAATACAGGTGAAATGCTTGTAAAGTATGATATTCCATACCAAAGTTAGTTGTTAAACGTCACTTTCTTAGGGTATACTGGAACTGATTTTATAAAATGACATAAGTCATGTATGAAACATACTATTTAAGAAAGAAAAAACAGCAAAATTAGAAAGAACTTTATTTAAAAAAATTACTTTATTCTTTTTTTATGTTTGGTGCTTAAATAGGTAAATTCTGTTAACAGGGAAATCAGTACCCAGCAGTAGTCATACTCTAAATGTTCCAGACTGTAAAGGTTCACTATACTACAAACAAAAAGGGAATTTATTTACCTAACTCTATTTGACTGTCATCTAGGTGAAGGGTCATAGAGCTTCAATGAGCAGGTTGGTTAAATTGTGCAACAAAGAACATAAGCCTCCAGGAATAATCAGACTTATCATTACATATAAATTATCTTCTTTCTGACAGAGGAAAGGACTGCCTAGCATTTTGTACAAAATCACAATGGCATCAGCAGACAATGGCCCTGTTTGTATCAGGGTGGAATCTGCAAGAGTAGAAAATTCATGCCTCAGTTAATTTTAATCTATAGAAAGCATGGACTTCAAAAAGCAAAACTGTGAGAGAATCAGACAAGATCTAGTTAGATCAAAAAGCTCGTGCCTGAGGGGAGCCAATATAGACAATTTAAGAAGCAGCATGTGCTCACTTCATCCCCAGAAAAGACACATTTCCGACACCTTTTCATGATTAATGAGACACACATACGTCATTACAGACTACATGGTCACCTAGGCTGAGGTTAAAACACAGAATGGAAACTCACACACCGTCTCATGAAAACCCCAAATCCAATGGGCAGGTTTAATTTCACTGATCTAGCCTCTTAAAACTAGCCATTAAGAGAGGACTACTGCCTGGGTGGAGAACCAAAGAGGCTTCCTATTCAGGAGATCACTGATTCAAAGAAAGTAAAAAAGAAACTGTTCAGGAGGCAGTTTAATACCAAACAGAAAGTTACATGAAATATTTCCAATACCATCAGCAAGGAAACAGATGTTAGACATGGCTGGGAGGCAAAGAGGGCAACAACCAGAGAGCCCTATAAAGTTAATTGGAAGTTTAGTTAATGCATATCCAATAAAGTAGAATATTATAATTCTAAAGAAACTAATTTTCTTAGCAACAACCTTGTCTATAGTTCATAAATCATTTTTAATTAACTTCATGAAGGATTATAGCAATAATTTAGGGGACAGCCTCCTACAACACACAGGTTAATGAAATATCCTCCTCCCGATTTACTTCTAAGTAGTTCCCACCCCCCACAAACCTTTGAATCAACCTACAAGTTTTAATGTGGCTGGAGCAATCTATCACAACAAACAAAAGTACACGGTAAGTCTATTTCAAGGGAATGATGAATCGAGTTCATTTTAAAAACTGAGTATTACTGAAACAGACTTTTTTCAAATTGGTCTGAAGTTCTAGTGACCAAAAAATCATTCTAGCTATGGTGACACACAGAAAAAATCGCCCTAAACAAAAAGCACCCGAGCATAATTAGAGATGAAGTTGGTTCAATGGAAAGAGCTCAGAACCCCACTCCAGTTACCTGGCCTCCCAGACAGGCCTCAGTATCCACAGCCACTATGAACAGACATCTGCAAAGACGTTTTCCAGTATCAGAAATACAAAATAAAGGGTCTACTTCAACTCTTAGCACCAAGGAAGAGCTCGCTGAACAGCAGCTTTTACATCATTAGATAAATTCAATCTGACCCTTCAGATTCCTTTCCTGCATCAAGTAACCCTCACCCTGTAATCCTAACCTACCTAGCACATGGTTAAGAGCTCAATAAATAGTAGCAAGTATTATCATCCAGCAAATTTACTAATCCTGTCCTCAGCTACATAAACATCTATAAATATAAACTTATAGCTACACATCACTTGTAAAAAACATTTTAAATGGGAACAGAGAACATGCTGACTAAAATCAACCCACTCACTGGGCAACCAGTTCTAAAGCTACATCAAATATAGATATAATCTAATGAACAATCCTTTCCATTTAGGCAAAGACCCCAGGGCACTTATATTTTTTTTTAAGATTTTGTAGTCTGGTAGACTAACAAAAATCTTCTAGAACAATTATGACCTCTGTATCATATAATAAAATAGCCTGGTTTGCTTCATTACTGTTATAAACTCACAAAGTCATCACACTTCTCCCCCAAATTAGATTCCAGATTAAACAAAAGCAGATGGGCTACAAATTTAATATTGAGAAGACTAATTTTTAATCGAAAGCAAATACTTTCTTGGACAGATTTTCCTACTTTTGCTTTCAGTAAATATACTCTGAAGGAGCCCCCTGAATATACTCCTTTAACAAATAAAGGAACATGTGTAATTCCAGAAAATATAAAATTAAGTTTGCAGAGAATTTGTTTCTACCTCCTCATATCTGGTGACATAAATCACTTTTATATCAACCTTATTCACTACTTTGGGAATGTACATATTAAAAAAAAATTAAGTTCTTTGTAGTAATTTCCTCATTTTACCATTTTTTAAATAATAAATAATTTTCTTGGGTAAGGTTTTCTAGTTCAGAGCATTAAACTGTCACAAAACAGATCTCCAAGCCATCCATCTAGGAGTATTTGTTAAGATCAACATAGCTATATATTTGTAATCCTATTATCTCCTTAGTAGGTGAGAACAAAGGATTTGGCCAACATTATTCAAGCTTTGTAATACTTGATTTACACATAAGCACACCTTATCGCAAAAATTCATTAAACATTTCTTCAAAAAAGCAAAAAGTTCTGGAGTCAAAGCAAAATTGGAAACAAAAAAATCAACAAAGCCCTTGGCTTTTAAAGGTCTAGAAACACCTTAGAGAGCTGCCTCAATTTAAAATTCACTGTGGTGGCTATGTATGCTCAAGTATTTAGTGTGCTGATGCTGCAATTTATTTTGAAATGTACTGAAAAATAAAATGGACTAATGAATTCAAAGAGACAGACAAATGGAACAGACCTGATAAAACAAGTAGAGCCAAATGTCAATGGCAGAGAGCAGGTGGTAGATACAGAGGCATATAGTAAATTTCTTTAAACTTTGTTATATGTTTGAAAATTTTCATAATAAAATGTCAGGAAAAAATAAGGATAGCAAATAACATGTCTTCTCATTCAATCTCTAACTCATAATTTTTTTTTTTTTAAAGATTTTATTTATTTATTTGACAGAGACACAGCGAGAGCAGGAACACAAGCAGGGGGAGTGGGAGAGGGAGAAGCAGACTCCCTGCTGAGCTGGGAGCCGGATGTGGGGCTCGATCCCAGGACCTGGGAATCATGACCTGAGCTGAAGGCAGACGCTTAACGACTGAGCCACCCAGGCGCCCCTAGCGACAAGAGTTAAAGAAGCATTAAGACATACTTCCAAAAGTACCAGCACAATTAAGACTGACTTCAACATTTGGCAAGCCTAAATATGACCAAATCATTATGTGCCCCACAATCTACAGATTTTATTCTTCCATGTCAAAAATGAGATATATTTTCACCTGTATTTAAAACAAACAGACACATACCTTGGGGGATAAGCACCTCCTCTCATGTTGTAGTTATAGGTGGACTGCATCCGAGAGTAAGGGTCGACAGGCTTATACATTGGTTTTTTTCCAAGTTTCATGCACAGTGCATTTAGTTCTACAGTAGGGGTTATGCTTTCTGCAACACATAATCAACACAGAGAACTGGTTGTTTTCTGACATGAGAATGACGGTCACTAAAATCAGAAAGAATAGCATGCTTTCTACTAATTGGATTCATAATGCATTTCATGAAAGGATATAAGTACTACATTGCTAGGCGTCAGGTCAGGAAATCCAAGAATCTGCTGTGATTTCTAGATATTAATACACAGTCAACAGCACAAAATACACCATAAGAGCTATTGTAACAACTAGCACAAGATGTTATCAGTGAAAGCCACACATTCCAGTTATTAGAAATCAGTTCCAATACACATCAAATTCCATGATTAAAAAAATCCCTGCGACTGTCCAAATCCTTTTACTGTTTGGGAATCCTTAGCCAGTATAACTCTGGCTGTACTGACTTGCTGGGCTATTGGCTTACACTTAGAAGTGTGTTGATGCACGCTATTTCATAGAATGATGCACTTACTAAGTACTAAGTGGATGTAAAGCACTGTGCTAAGGGATACAATTCTTGCCCCAGAGGATTCAAATAACACAAACACTCTCAAAGAACTACTATACAACAGGATGTGTGCTATAAGGAAAGGTGTGGAATCACTGAGGAGGAGGCAAGTAAATTGTATCTGGAGAAGTCAGATGAGGGCGGCAAAATATTCAGATATTTCCAATCTCAATATTTACATTGGGATTTGACCTGTGAGAATACTTGTTAGGAAAATTAGTTCTGTTTCCATATAAACAACAGCAAGTATAAGTTATCTCAGAATTATCAACTATAGAAAATACACACTGTTCATTTTCCAATTTTTTTCCCTCAGTTCATCCAGTTCATAAATTGTTAAAAACATGTAATGTAAAAGGAAAATCAGGCTGGAAAGAGCAGTGTCAATGCACAATCACATTTGAAAACAACACCTGCACATCAAACACAGAACAACACTAGCAATGGCAAAGGTCAACTTAAAGGCACACGAAAATCCACTTAAAAAGGCCTCTTTAGGCATTTTATGTACGTAGAGGAAAATAAAAAATGACTTGATTCTGTACTGTAACTGGTTCAACTAAATTTAGTGCATGAATCAAATCTATAAGAATATCTTTGGGTTTGCAAAATCAGAGGGTCACAGAAGTAACCAGCTTCTCTCTTCCTAACATGAGAATTTTATTTTTTTTATATGATTCATACAGTTGCATTTTAACATAAACTGAATCATCTTCAGAGCAGTTCTGACCCAGAAAATCTACCTGCAGTAGAGAATGAATCTGAAACAACACAGAGAAATTAAAAGCAACAAGAAAGGTGTAGCCGAGATCCCTCAGATTTCTTCCTGTGTACAAAGGGACTGGGATGGCTTCGTGTGTGATGACAGGTAACGTGGCTACAACTCCCACCCACCGTGGCAGGTCAGTGGTTCCCAAGCTTTTACCAGATGCTCTTCTCTATCAGTCTTCTCCCTTCTCCGTGGGTCCCTTGTTTGAAGAGATATTGTCTACTAATAGTATTTAAGTGATAAATATTTAAGTTATTTTCTCATTCTGTTTAAGGATCAGGAGACATGAAACTGACAATCAGCGTTTCTGATCAATGTGTTATAACTGGTATTTCCACACTGGGTTGAAGTGATCCCAGCTAAGGCCTACATTCTTGGCAATCTGTACCACCTTATCGAGGAACAAAAGGTATTTTCTCTAAGCTTTTCTGAAACCTTGGAAATTGTCTGGTGACAGCCCCCCCACCTCTCTGGACCTTCTTTGCAGATCCTCAGGAGTCACGGGACCAGAGATTGGGAACCCATGCTTCAGATTTAGAGTATGGTTAAGGATTCTGAAAAGGTAAGTGTTTGCCACTGGTAGTGTAGAAACTGTGCTTTCAAAATCAACAAGTTAGTTAAGAAAGAATTCATATACATACTGAATGGGTACCTCTAAACACACTTTTGAAAGGAACCTGTCTTGGCCCACGCATAATACCTGGATTCCTTCCTTCGCTACGAAAAGGGCGGACTATGGGTTTAGGAAATTTTGTTCCTTCCAAAGCTTTGGCAGCAGCTGTGTGCTGGGCTTTTTTAATACTAGTTCCTTCAGCTTCCCAGTGCTGATCTCCAAGTGTTAGCTGTACTGTAAACACCTACAAATGAAAATTGTGAGCTCTCAATTCATGATACCTGATGTTGACTATAGTATGTCACGTTGGACCTTGAACATTTTTTATGGCCATGGTTTAAAAGGCCTGATTATTATCTTGGCAATTTATCCCTTCACCCCCATTTTTTGTTGTTTCTATAAACACCAAAAGATACATATATCATTGACTAGCATTGAACAGCATTCTGTGACAAAACTATGCTTTGAAAAATGGGGGTAAGCATAGAGATTAAGAAAAGTTTTCCTGCATATATTAAATATTAGACGTTGATTTTTTGGAAGTCATCCAAATAGAAACTGTCTTCCAATTACTTCTCATGGAAGAAATATAGCAAACTTGATTTAGACACATAGTATCTCATATAAATTAAGACGTTCGTTTTGATGTTCTCATGCGTTTGTGGTCTCTTGTCTGAAAACACAATCCCAGGAGGACAAACACTTGAATAAATTTGGGAATGTCAGCCAGGCTCTAAAACGCTGCCTTCGACTTTGCTAAGATTACTCTATTATTCAGACACTCCCTCCACCTTCAGAAGAAAATCTGATCCACAGTAAGCAAAGATCAAGAAACGTTTCTGAACTCAAGGAGGCATCCAAAACAGCTAATTTTGTCCTCAGCAAATGCTGACAATGGCAAACCTCTTTATTCCTTCTTAAGTATAAAGGTAACCCAAATACACACTCCATTCTTAAAATTAGGTTATGTTAATCCTATCAGAACTGAATTAATACTCTGTCAAAAAATATGACCCATCATGTCACAGTGATTCTCTAACTTTGGTGCTCATCCAGGAAACTTGGTAAAATACACATGCCCATGGATTTTGACTGAGGAGCAAGAGGGGAGACCGGAGCAAGTGTATCTTTAATAAGCTCCCCTAGTGATTCTGACGCACTATGAAGTTTGAGACTCACTACTTTGGAATTTAGCAAAACCAACTGGAGCTTTTATTTTTCTGCTTTTCTTTATCACAGGCTATCACTCTGTTTCATTACAAATAATGTACATGAGAAATACTGATGTGAATGCATCTACATCATCTGAAAATGTCCAGACCACAGAAATTTGGTGCCTAGAGGGATGGGTGTGCCTTGCCTTCACAGATGATTTTTCTTGTAGGTCTTAACTTCAGGATTCCCTCAGTACACAGCTTCCACTAAAGGGGAAAAATTAAGAAATCCTCACCCCACTGGAACCATTAGGGGGTCCCCTGAATTAATGCTGCAGTTCACAAGGGTACTCATTCAGCACCAACAGCACGGACTCAAAACAGTGGCTGGCCTGAGCAGCCAAACAGCAGGAGCCTACAGTGCTGTGCAATCCCCAACCTCCAGGGCATTTCATGATCCTTTCACGGAAAGACGCTGAAGGGGAAAAGCTAAAAAGCAAAGAGTTAATTTTATCAACAGTCTCGCCTTTCTCCAGCACTTCCCCCATCTGCGCTGTTGTGGCTCTGCTGCCTCCCACATGGAGGGTTGGTAGCGAGGTCAGAATCTAGGTTTTCACAGAATTCAAACCATACCACACCACCGACTTTTTAAAGAGTCTAACAGTCACTTAGGAGGGAATAACTTTTCCTCTTTGAATAACTTGAAGGTTAAAAAAAAAGGGGGCAGTTACAGATTGAACACACAGCCAAATGACCTACAGTACCACTGAAGTTTAAGTGAAAAAGTACGTGTTTCAAAAAATACCAAAAACAGTTAATAAAGGGAATCCCAAAGTTAAGGTCTGCAAAAAAAATCCCGCAGAAGAAACAGAACAGTTATAGAAAATCACTAATTGCCTTCCAAAAGTAAAAAAACATTTCAAATACGATCATGCTTTAGAATAAAACTAGCTTCACATGAGTAGAAATTTCTGTGTTTCTCAAATGCCTAATAATAATAGCTACCATTTCTGCAGCACTTAATAATCGCCAGGCATTGTGCTCCACACTTTAACATACAGTCTCTCATTTAATTCTCACAGTAGGCCTATTTGGGTAGGTCTTATCCCCATTTTAAAGAGGAGGAGACTGAGGTTCAAAAACAGCAGTAGCTTGCCCAAGGTCACACAGCTAGAAGAAGCTGAGATTTAAACCCACATCTGTCTCACACCAAAGGCGACTCACCTAACCACACTATGGTGCCTATTTAGGACTGTGGTCGATGTTGTTTTTAGTCAAATGAAAAGGGAAACTTGGTAGGTATATCATTCAAGGCTTGAGGTCTGCATGTCAAGAAAAGTGACGCATAAAGAGACCAATAACTCATCCTTAATAATATTATCTTTACTGCAAAGCTAGGATCAGAAATAGGAGACCCGATTCCTTCTCTCTGACACCCTCTCTCACACTGCAGCTGCAAAGATAAAGCCAGATATGCACACATTTAAGTTCCAAGATTTACGTTAGCACAGATATCAAACGAGCTTCAAAGACTGAATTCCTGAGTAACAAATAGTAAAAATTTAAATTACAGTCAGTCTTCCATTCTCTAAGATATGGGGAAAGACAAGGATAAGTGAAATCAGAGACAATCCAAAGGACTCACTCTGAGACTAATTTCTACCCCTCATCTTCAAACCTTTTACCTGGATTGCTGACAAGTGGCAAAACGGATTTCCTGTTCCCCTCCTCTCCCTGCCCAGTCTAGGGTTCGTGCAAACAAGCAGGAAAGGAGCCCGAGGCAGGCTGTAGCCAGGAGGCCCAGAGCCTGGAAAACTCGCAGGAAGTCATTCACAGGTGCTTGGGAATTGTCTCTATTCAGAGTCCTAAACACAACCACACACTAATTGGAATTTTAAAAGCCATATATCCCAAAAAGAAGCATGTCTTTTCTTTGACCCATTCTGCAAGGATGAAGAGAAATGACTTGCCAAAAATCTATACTTTTGCATCTCTTGAAGACAGCCTCAGTGGTTGGGAAGTACGTATTCTGAACCACAGCACCACTTGGAGCAGCATAAAAAGACAGAAAACATTCCTGGTGGGTTAGAAATGCACAAGCAGTATGGACAATATTTACCTTACAGTGAGCTGGACCTTGCTCACGCAAAAGCTTATACTCAGGCTGAATCTTGTTGAAACGGGCTAACTCATTCACAAGACACATTGGGGTTTTCTCTTTGGGGTGTGCCATGCTAGAAGGAACTGAAAAATAACGTCAGAGCAATGAAGTCAACTAGCAGTATATAGGACTGCTGCTCTCCCGGGGATACGAGAAAAGAGGGAAAACGGAAGGTCTAAGGAGTCAGAGCAGCGGTGCCGCACAGCAGCAAACCACGCGGGGGCGCCCGCCTGAAGGCACGGCTGGGGTCCGCTCTGAGCCAGCCGAAGCCGGGGAGCCTAGGAGAGCGTGTCTTCCGAAGAGAGCGAACCGAGGTCAGGGGGATAACCAAACCACGGCAGCAAGCAAGACTTGAAATCAGATGAAGCACTGTTGTTACAGCCAACCGCGGGAATAACACGGAGGTCTTGTGAGCACAGACACACTGGTCACCACAACAGCCGTCAGCTGGACCCTGTCGGTTATTGCACAAAACTCAACGTGCCAATGCCATTTCTCAAACAACGACTGTCGTGTTCCACACGGCTAACTTCTCGTTCCTGGGGCATCCCCTAGTCTTATCTCCAGAGGTTGCCACCCTCAGACCTTATCTACTTCTGAGAATTATACAAGTAAAATAAAATGGCCTTGGCGGGCAGGGGTTTTACCAAGTCAGCAGGATGTGGATATAAGAACGCATTAGAAGAAAAAGCAGTAAATCCCAGAGGACTGAAACAGTCTGTGACATTTCCTTTGAAGATGGTCTCCAATGGCAAATGTGGGGAAAACTGAATCTGTTGGGTATTATGACAAGTCAAGATAGCTCTCCAGTGAGCCAGCCCAAGGAAGCCTAGAGGTAGGGTGACAGATGCCGTGCAGCTGAGAGGGGGATGAGCCAACACTCTAAGAACAGATTTATAAAGGAAATGAGAAATGAAGGAGGAAATGCAAGGGAAATTGTCAGGTACAAGGGGTTGAAAGAATCTGTTAGAAGGTGACTCTGCTATGGAGACACCCATGTTGGCACCCCATTTAATTGGTTTTGCCACTATGGGGAAGGGTTGGGAAGCAGAATATTATTTTCAGGATTGTTTATTTTTCAGCTGTTTCAAGTCTTTTCTCATCAATGAGCACATTTATTTGGAACTTTTTTTTTTTTTTTTTTTAAGTAATCTCTACACCCAATGTGGGGCTCGAACTTACAACCCGGAGATCAAGGGTCGCATGTTCTTCACACTGAGCCAGCCACATGCCCCATCAACGAGTACATTTAGTTCATCTTTATTTTCCTAACAGTCAGATTTAAATGCTTCTGAACTTATTCCTCTTCAAAAATCTCTGCTTCTTTGTTCAATTTCTAATTGGTCCTCACTGTGATTTCTGAACTACCTCTGGAATCTCAATTTAAACTGACCTGTTCAAAATAAAAATTAACAAATGCCAACGCACTCTCCTGCTTTCCGGTAAATCTGGCTGCTCCCTTGCTTGGGATATAATCTTACAGACATCTAAAACAAGGGCTTACACATACAAGAATTCTTTGTCAGTTCTGGGAAATAATTTTAAAAGGAGAATTTTCCCATACAACAATACAAATCCAAAGTGGTATTTACTGTTCAATCCTTTCTGCTGGCTGCCACTTTATAATAAGCTAGGTTTTATAGTTTAGTTTTCAATTCCCTTTCTTACACTTTGAAATGGTCTGTCAACTCAGGCCTCCGACAACCCAGTATACAACCGAGTGTTTTACATCTGGAATAAAGAAGCATGGGTGTTAATACTGTCTTCTGGGACGCCTGGGCGGCTCAGTCGTTAAGCGTCTGCCTTCGGCTGAGGTCATGATCCCAGGGTCCTGGGATCAAGCCCCGCATCGGGCTCCCTGCTTAGCAGGAAGCCTGCTTCTCCTTCTCCCACTCCCCCTGCTTGTGTTCC